CCAGGGTCTGTCCGAGGCCGCGGCCACCGAGCGGCTCCTCCGGGATGGTCCCAACGAGCTGCGGCCGCCCCGGGGCACCCCGGGCTGTGTCCGCTTCGGGCGGCAGCTGGCGGGGGGGCTGCAGTGCCTCATGTGGGTGGCGGCCGCCATTTGCCTCATCGCCTACGGAGTGCAGGAGGGGGAAGGTGACAGAGGGAGTTCAGACAATGTGAGTACACCCGGGCACACCTGGGCACACCTGGGATACAGCTGTACCACACCTGTAACACCTGGAGGTGATTTGTCTGATCGCCCGCGGAGTGCAGGAGGGGGAAGGTGATCGGGGGAGTTCTGATAATGTCAGCACACCTGGGCGCACCTGGGCACACCTGGGCACAGGTATAACACACCTGGGCACACCTGGATACAGGTATAACATACCTGGGCATACCTGTAACACAGGTATAACACACCTGGGACACACTTGGGCACACCTGGGACACAGGTATATAACACGCCTGTAACACACCCTGGGCACACCTGTAACACACCTGGGCACACCTGTAACACACCTGGGCACATCTGGGGAATACACCTGTAGCACCTGGGGATACACCTGTAACATCTGGGGGCAGTTATAACACACCTGGGCACGCACCTGGGCGCTCACCTGGCCTCACCTGTCGGCAGCTCTACCTGGCCGTGGCTCTCATCGCTGTCGTGGTCGTCACCGGCTGCTTCGGTTACTACCAGGAGTTCAAGAGCACCAACATCATCGCCAGCTTCCGCAACCTGGTCCCGCAGGTGAGCGCACCTGGCGCACCTGGGCACACCTGGGGGCACCTGGGATACACCTGGGCACACCTGGGCACACCTGGGGGCACCTGGGATACACCTGGGGGTATCTGGAGGAGTTAACTCGCTCACCTGGCCACACGTGGGGGTACCTGGGTTACACCTGGGGGCACCTGGGCACACCTGGGGGGGGAATCTCACCTGTGTACACCTGGAGGGGGTCTCACCTGTGCACACCTGAGGCCTCACCTGTGCTCACCTGTGCAGCAAGCCACGGTGATCCGGGCGGGGCAGACGCTGCAGGTGAACGCGGCCGAGCTCGTGGTCGGGGACCTGGTGGAGATCAAAGGTGGGGATCGAGTCCCGGCCGACATCCGGATCCTGGCGGCCCAGGGCTGCAAGGTGAGCGCACCTGGGCACACCTGGGCACACCTGAGAGGGATAGAAACATACCTGGGCACACCTGGGCACACCTGGGGGCATCTGGGGACACTGGGGAAGGCACCTGGGGGCACCTGAGAGGGATAGAAACACACCTGGACACACCTGGGGGCAGCTGGGAGCACGTGGGAACACCTTGACACACCTTGACACACACCTGGGGACACACCTGGGCACACCTGGAGGCTCAGGTGCGGCTGTGGCCCGGCCCAGGTGGACAATTCGTCGCTGACCGGGGAGTCGGAGCCGCAGACGCGCTCACCTGAGTGCAGCCACGACTCACACCTGGAGACGCGGAACATCGCCTTCTTCTCCACCATGTGCCTGGAAGGTGAGCGCACCTGGGCGCACCTGGGGGCACCTGAATACACCTGGGGGCACCTGGGCACACCTGGGTCACACCTAGACACACCTGGGTCATACCTGGGTCACACCTGGGGGTCCTGATCCCACCTGGACACACCTGGGTTATACCTGGGTCATACCTGAACACACCTGGGACACACCTGGGTCTATACCCGGACACACCTGGGACACACCTGGCGGGATCTTAATCTCACTTCCTCCATCTCCCTCCCCCCTCACCTGGCGGCACAGGTACGGCCACGGGGCTGGTGATCAGCACAGGTGACCGCACGGTGATCGGCCGCATCGCCAGCCTGGCGTCAGGGTCTCACCTGGGACACACCTGGGGGTCCTGATCCCACCTGGACACACCTGGGACACACCTGGGTCATAGCTGAACACACCTGGGACACACCTAGACACACCTGGGTCATACCTGGGGGTCCTGATCTCACCTGGACACACCTGGGTTATACCTGGGTCATACCTGAACACACCTGGGACACACCTGGGTCTATACCTGGACACACCTGGGACACACCTGGGGGTCCTGATCCCACCTGGACACACCTGAGTTATACCTGGGTCATACCTGAACACACCTGGGACACACCTGGGTCTATACCCGGACACACCTGGGACACACCTGGCGGGATTTTAATCTCACTTCCTCCATCTCCCCCCCCCCCTCACCTGGCGGCACAGGTACAGCCACGGGGCTGGTGATCAGCACAGGTGACCGCACGGTGATCGGCCGCATCGCCAGCCTGGCGTCAGGTGTGGAGAACGAGCGGACGCCGATCGCCGTGGAGATCGAGCATTTCGTGGACATCATCGCCGGCCTGGCCGTGCTCTTCGGCGCCACCTTCTTCGTGGTGGCCATGCTCATCGGCTACCCCTTCCTGCGCGCCCTCGTCTTCTTCATGGCCATCGTGGTGGCCTACGTGCCCGAGGGGCTGCTGGCCACCGTCACGGTACGGGCAGGTGACACCTGGGCACACCTGGGGCGCACCTGGTGGGGTGGTGTTGAGATTTTAGGGGGTTTTTATGGGGTTCCGCCTCGAGTTATGGAAGTTGTGAGGGTCTCATTGGTGCCATCACCACGTGGAGGGGTTTGGAGGACAGGTGAGAACACCTGGAGACAGGTAGGGACAGGTGCGGTCACCTGGGCACACCTGGGGACAGGTGAGGACAGGTGGAGTAGGAATTCACGCAGGTGTTGAGGTTTTTATAGGGTTCCATCTCAAGGTTATGAAGGTCTTGTGGTTCTTATTGGTCCCATCACCATGTGGAGGGGGTTGGAGGACAGGTGAGAACACCTGGAGACAGGTGAGGCACACCTGGGCACACCTGGGCACACCTGGGCACACCTGGGCACAGGTGGTATTGTGGGCATTTGCACAGGTGTTGAGGTTTCTATGGGGTTCCACCTCAAGCTATGGCAGTTCTGAGTTTCTTATGGCTCCCATTGCAATGTAGAGGGTCTGGAGGGCAGGTGAGAACACCTGGGCACACCTGGAGACAGGTGAGGACACCTGACAGGTGAGGACAGGTGAGGACACCTGGGCCTTGAGGTTTTCCATGGCTTCCACCAGAACCTGAGGGGTTTTGAGAGCCCCTCACCTGTCCAGGTGTGTCTGTCTCTGACTGCCAAGCGCCTGGCTCGCCACAGCTGCCCAGGTGTTCTGTACCCTATCCACGTGTGCTGTACGCTATCCAGGTGATCCCTCACCTGTCCAGGTGTGCTCTCACCTATCCAGGTGTGCTCTCACCTGTCCAGGTGTGCCTGTCGCTCACGGCCAAGCGCCTGGCTCGCTGCAGCTGCCCAGGTGTTCTGTACCCTATCCACGTGTGCTGTACCCTATGCAGGTGTGCTGTACGCTATCCAGGTGATCCCTCACCTGTCCAGGTGTGCTCTCACCTGTCCAGGTGTGCCTGTCTCTCACGGCCAAGCGCCTGGCTCGCCGCAGCTGCCCAGGTGTTCTGTACCCTATGCAGGTGATCCCTCACCTATGCAGGTGATCCCTCACCTATCCAGGTGTGCTCTCACCTGTCCCGGTGTGCTCTCACCTGTCCAGGTGTGCCTGTCTCTGACTGCCAAGCGCCTGGCTCGCCGCAGCTGCGTGGTGAAGAACCTGGAGGCCGTGGAGACGCTCGGCTCCACCTCCGTCATCTGCTCCGACAAAACCGGGACCCTCACCCAGAACCGCATGACCGTGGCACACCTGTGGTTCGACGGACAGGTGCACGCGGCCGACACCACCGAGGACCAGTCAGGTGAGGGGGAAGGGGGGGGGGTTACACCTGGGGATGGGTGGGGAGGCGCCTGGATACACCTGGACACACCTGGACACATCTGAGCACACCTGGATATACCTGGACACACCTGGGACACACCTGGGACACACCTGGGACACACCTGGGGACACCTGGGGATGGGTAGGGACACACCTGGGGACACCTGGACACACCTGGGAATGTGTGGGAACACACCTGGGCACACCTGGACACACTTGGAGACACCTGGGACATACCTGGGGACACCTGGACACATCTGAGCACACCTGGATTTACCTGGACACACCTGGGGACACCTGGGAATGGGTGGGGACACACCTGGGGACACCTGGACACACCTGGGAATGGGTGGGGACACACCTGGATACACCTGGATACACCTGAGCACACCTGGGGACACCTAGGACACACCTGGGCACACCTGGGGATGGGTAGGGACGCACCTGGATACACCTGGACGCACCTGAGCACACCTGGATAGACCTGGGCACACCTGAGCACAGCTGGAGAAAGCTGGGGACACCTGGGAATGGGTGGGGACACACCTGGATAGACCTGGGCACACCTGGGGACACCTGGACACACCCGAGCACACCTGGAGAAAACTGGGGAATACCTGGGGACATCTGGGATACACCTGGGGATGGATGGGGACACACCTGGGACACACCTGAGACACACCTGAGACACACCTGAGCACACCTGGGCACACCTGTCCCCCCCCAGGTCAGAGCTTTGACCAATCGTCGGAGTCGTGGACGCTGCTCAGCCAGGTGATCACGCTCTGCAACCGCGCCCAGTTCAAACCTGGCCAGGAGGACGTGCCCGTGGCACAGGTGAGACTGGGACGGACTGGGATGAACTGGTTTGGGCTGGGAGATGAGGTGGGCGTGTCCTCACCGCGGCCCCGCCCCTTCCCTCCCCCCCAGCGTGACGTCATCGGTGACGCGTCGGAGACGGCGCTGCTGAAATTCGCGGAGGTGACGTCAGGGTCGGTGGCGGCCGCCAGGGGGCGCTACCCGAAGGTGGTGGAGCTGCCGTTCAACTCCAGCAACAAATTCCAGGTGAGACCGGACAGGTGAGACCGGACAGGTGAGACAGGTGAGATATGGACAGGTGAGACTGCATAGGTGAGACTGGACAGGTCAGACCAGACAGGTGAGGGACAGGTGAGACGGGTGGAACAGGTGAAGGGCAGATGTATCTCAGATGTATCCCAGGTGTATCTCACCTGTCCAGGTGTCTGTTCACGACGCCGGCCCCCAGCAGCTCCAGGTGTATCAGTTCTATCTCAGGTGTATCTCACCTGTCTCAGGTGTATCTCAGGTGTATCTCACCTGTCTCACCTGTCCTATCTCACCTGTCCAGGTGTCCGTTCACGACGCCGGCCCCCAGCAGCTCCTGGTGCTCAAGGGCGCCCCCGAGCGGGTCCTGGAGTATCAGTTCTATCTCAGGTGTATCACACCTGTCCCAGGTGTATCTCACCTGTCCTATCTCACCTGTCCAGGTGTCCGTTCACGACGCGGGCCCCCAGCAGCTCCTGGTGCTCAAGGGCGCCCCCGAGCGGGTCCTGGAGCGCTGCCGGGGGGCGCTGCAGGGGGGGGAGGAGCGGCCGCTGGACCCGCGCTGGCGCCAGAGCTTCGAGGGGGCGTACGCGGAGCTGGGGGGGAGGGGCGAGAGGGTGCTCGGTGAGTGGGGGAGGGG